GATTGCCATGGTCCAGCGGCTCTACGTGGGGCGGCTGCCCGAGGATGTGACCCAAGGCCGAGCTCGTCTCGCGCTTCGAGCGCCTCCTCGCCAGCAACGCCGACCTGCGCATCGACGACGTCCAGCTCATGGCCAACTCGGCGGCCAACGACTTTGCCTACCTGCAGATCGCATCGGCCTCTGGCGATGCGGCCGCCGAAACCGCGACCGTCGACGCCTTTGTCAAGGCGTACCACAACACCAAGTGGAAGGGCAAGCGGCTGCGCGTCGAGCCGGCCAAGCCCGACTTTATGCAGCGGCTGCAGGTGGCGTGGACCAACGACGAGGTCGCCAAGGCCGTGGTACTCGCCGAGCGTGAGCGCGCCTTTGCCCCCGCCCAAGACGACGAAGCGCCGGCCATGGAGCTCAAGAAGTCAAAGCGCTACAAGGGCAAGCGCATGCTCTTTGACGACGATGGCGTCGTCTCGATCGTAGCGTCGAAGGCTCCCGTGGCGACTACGGTCGTTACCGAGGCCCCACCGTCGGACAAGGAAGACGCCAACGAAGACGACGGTCACTTGAGCCCCGAGACCTCGGACGACGAAGCCAAGAGCGACGAAGAGGAGGTCTCGGCGGATGCTATCGACGACGCGGCCAATGACGACGACGACGATGCGGTTGAAGCCGAGGTTGAAGTGCCGGTCGCGGACGCCGAGTTGAGCTCCGAGACGTCGGACGAGGACGTTGATGCGCCCGAGGATGCGGCCATGAGCTCCGAGACGTCAGACGACGACGACGAAGATGACGAGCAAGACGATGCGGACGCGGCTGTCGAGCAAGACGACGTTGAGGCGGACGAAGCGTCGCCGGCCGACGACATTGACATGGAGGCAGAGATCGAGCGGGAGCTTGAACTCGCCTATGCGCAGGCGCAAGCAGCCTCCAGCAGCAGCAGCAGTAGCAGCAGCAGCAGCAGCGAGAGCGAGAGCGACGACAACGACCAAGATGTCGACATGGAGGCCGAGATCGCCAAGGAGCTCGAGGCTGCGCCCGAGGTAGCGCCTGCTGCGCCTGTCGTGGACGAAGCCGCGCGCAAGGAAGCTGCGAACGCCCGGCGTCTCGCGGCCATCAAGGAGCGCGAGGCGCAGATGGCCGCGATGAAGAAGCAACCCGCGCCGATCGCTGCGACCAACAAGAAGATCACGTTTGGCGACGACTCGGACGACTCGGACGTCGAGACCTCGTCGACGCCGGCGCCGGCGCCGTCCAAGAAGCGCGGGTTCCTCAGCGACTCGGACGACGACGACGACGACGATGACAAGGACGACGACGACGATTTCCTCGGGCTCAAGCGGCGCAAGACCGAAGCGCTCTTCGAGTTCCGGCCCGAGTTTGCCGGCGCGGACGGCAAGCGGCTCTTTGAGATGCAAAAGCGGTTTGGCGGCGATCAGCGTTTCCGGCTCGACGCGCGCTTCGTCGAAGGCGACGAGTTCAACGACGGTGTTGACGACGCCCACCACGACATGGACCTTCCATTGAACGATGCGATCCAGGCGTGGGCCACGGTTGCGCCGGACGCCGACGAGGTCGCCAAGCAGGCGTACATTGCAGAGACCGAGCGCGCCCTCGACGTGCTCTCGCTTGTCTTCCCCAACATGGAATTGGAGCGAGCGAAGGCGCGCTTGCACCGGTCGGTCTCGGACGCCAAGGACCTCAAGCAGCTCGGGTGGCTCGCCGCCGTGCGTCGCTACGACCCGCGCGACGCTGGCGCGAAAGCCTTTGAGCAGACGGCTCCGACCGACGCCGAAATCGCCAAGGACAACGACGACGACGACGATGGCGAGGCGTTGCCGCCGATGCCGGTGCGGAAGGAGACGCCGATGCCCGAGGTGTCGGAGGAGCGGTACTTTGCCGCGACGTCGGACCTCTCGACCATGTTCTCGCGCGTCCGCGCCAACTCGGAGGACGGCGAGGAGATGGAAGCCGCGCTCGATGGTATCGTCAAGCCGGCCGCGTCGAGTGGCTTTAGCTTTGCATCCATGTTTGGCGGCGGCGATGTCATCGAAGACGATGTCGACGACCACGTCGACGCCAAGCCGCTCGAGGAGAAGCCCGACCTGGACGACTCGACGTGGCACTTTGCCAACACGGTGCGCAAGGTCGTCCAGGACGACAGCACGGACGACGAAGCTATGGAGGACGACGACGACGGCGAGGTGGAGCCGGTGACGGTGACGGACGCGCTCCCGAAGCGGCAGGTGGCCGACGTCCTCGCATTTGGTGCGAGCTTTTGCAAGCCGGACCCGTGGACCAAGACGCACGAGGCCGACTGGATGACGCTGCGCAAGACGTATACGCTCGACTTCCGACGCAAGCACAAGCAAGCGCTCAAGAACAAGAAGACTATGAAGAAGCAGTTCCAGAAGCCCCGCCCCAAGAATGCGTAGGTGTAGAACGATGTGTAAATTATCTGCTCCCGATGCCACAATGTTGCAGTCCACAAACAAGTAGATGATATCGATGTCGGTATCTCAATACTTGCAGTCGTCGCCACCCGAAGCCTCCAAGACGTTGGCTTACGTCTGCGCTGACGTCTGCGCTGGCGACGGTTGTACGCCGAGTGTCGGCGGCGTCATTTCTGCAGCGCTGGCCCGGTTTCGACCAGAGGATGGTTTGGCGGGACGACCAAGCGTCACGGACGATGGGTCGTGCAAGACACGGCGTAGGTGGTGTATATAAGGAGGAATTCTATGGATTAACATGGGAAAATAATGCATTGGTTTACTTCTTCGCCTTCTTCTTCAGGCGCGCCTCGGCAAACTTGTTGGCCATGAAGCGAGCCTGCTTGGCCTTGGGGTTCAAGACCGTCGGCTTGCCGGGCTTGTTGCCCTTGCCCATCGGCTGGTTCTTGCCCTGAACCTTCTTGGCCGCAGGCGCCGCCGGCTTGGCAGCAGGCTTGGCGGCGGGCTTGGTGGCAACCTTGGCCGCGGGCTTGGCGGCCGTCTTCTGCTGCTTCTTGACGGGCTTGGCTTCCACGACAGGCTCTTCTTCTTCTTCTTCCGAGGCCTCTTCCTCCTCGACGTCTTCCTCCTCCTCGGAGGCTTCTTCGGCAGCCTCGTCTTCCTCGGCTTCTCCCTCGGCGTCGTCCTCGCTGGCCTCGTTCGCGACCTCGGCGTCGCTGTCTTCTTCAACGACCGACGCGTCGACGGCATCGGCCGCCTTCTTGTTGGCCTTCTCGAGCTGGCGCTTCTGGCGCTTGGAGAGCACCTTGGACTCGTTGTCTGAGTCGTACTCGTCCTTGTTGGCGTCGTCGTCCGAGCCGTCGTCCGGCTTGGCGTTCGCGTACTTCTTGAACTTGGCCACGTAAAAGCCGTCCATGTTGTGCACATGCGGGTAGAAGCGGCGCGTGAGCGTCATGCTCGGGTGGAAGCGCTGCTGCTGGTAGCGGGTGAAGCCGGGCTTGCCGTGGTCGAGGCCGCAGTCCACGAGCTTGACCGCGCGCTTCTTGAGCGCATACTCGACGACCGCTTCGTTCTCTTCGACCATGACCGAGCACGTCGAGTAGACAATGATGCCGCCGGACGCGCTCTTGGCGTCGACGGCGTCGATGGCCGCGAGGATGAGTTCCTTCTGGAGGTGCGAGAGGCGGAAGACGTCCTTCTCCGTCTTCTGCGTCTTGATGGACGGGTCGCGCGCAATGACACCCATGCCCGTGCACGGCGCATCGAGGAGGACGCGGTCAAAGCCGGTGAAGACGCTCGGGAGCTTGCGGCCGTCGTAGTTGGAGACGGCGCAGTTCTTGACGCCGAGACGGTGGAGGTTGGCCACCGTGGCCTTGAGGCGGTTCTTCTTCAGGTCGTTCGCGATGAGCGTGCCCGAGTTGCGCATGAGCTGGGCCACGTACGTGGTCTTGCCGCCCGGCGCGCAGCACATGTCGAGGATGCGCTCGTTGGCTTCGGGCGCGAGCGCCAGCACCGGGCCGAACGACGACGCCGACTGGAGCATGTAGTGGCCAGACAGGTACTCGGGCGTCGCACCGATCGGGACCGGCGAGTCGTAAATCTTGAGGCCGACCTTGGACCACTTGGCGAGCGGGTCGAGGTTCACACCGCGCTGGATGAGCGCCTGGGCGAGGTCGCGCCGGCGCGTCTTAAGCGTGTTGGCGCGGATGACGAGCGGACGCGGCTGCTCGTTGGCCTCGATGAACTCGAGCGTCTCGGCAGGCGAGAACATCTGCATGAAGAGCACCATGAGGTCGCGGTTGTAGCCAAAGTACGACGCCATGTCGGTCGTGAGCTGGTCAATGTACTCGGAGCGGCTGCGATGGGCCTCACGGCGCTCCTTAAAGTGCGCAAGGACTTCAATGACGTCCTTGATGCGCTGGTAGACGTCCGACGCGTCAAGACCGCCGGCCTCGTCGTCGTCCTCGTCGTCTTCGTCCGGGAGCTCGTACTTGCCCTGGTTGGCGAGGTTGAGCTGCATCTCTTCCTCGGCGTCCTCCTCGTCCTGGGCCTCCTTGGCTGCGAGGCGCGCGGCCTTGCGCTCAAACTCGGTCATGTGCTCGTCGTCCGAGTCTTCATCCTCGTCGTCGCTGCCAGCGTTCTATAGTATCATGAGCTGCATGCATTCGCGTGTGGTGGCGGTGGTTACCTTGGGCTTGAGCCACTTGGCGTTACCGTCCGAGAAGCCCTTGGGCGTCGCATCGTCGTCGTAGTTGTCATCATCGTCGTCGTCATCGTCGTCGTCCTCGTCGACGTCCTGCTCGTCTTCCGAGACCTCTTCTTCGTTGTCGCTGGCCATGGGCTCATCTTCCGACTCGGACTCGGGCACGACCACCTTGGCCGCCTTCTTGGACTTGGCCGCGATGGCTTCGTACTTGCCCTTCTTGGAGACCGGCGCGGGCGCGTCGAGCCTAGGCCATCGTGAGCTACGTGGTCATGGCGGGTCGGTGGACCTACTTGCGCTTCTGCGTCGTCTGCTGCTTCTTGGCGGCCATCGAAGCTACTTGAGGATTGGCTGCAATGCCATTGGATCGAGCTGCAGCCTCGCGTTTGGTTGGCTGGTTGACCCCCTCGATACAAGCACATCTCAAAACCCTCTTTATTTGAGTATGCATTGATAGAGGTAGTACGTGGCAGCACCAGCGACCACAGCGTTCCAAGACTGCCCCACGACGTGGTGGCTACATCGTCGTCGTGGCCACTCCGAGTCTTTACAACGGATCGGACAATCAATAGAGCGTATCGAGGGCGGGAGCGTTGAGTGGGCCAGCGACCGACTCGGCTGCAGCCTTGGACGCTGGGAAAGCCGTCGGAGGCGAGTCGCGCCACCGTCGCCAAGATGTTACAATGGTCCTTGGGGTGGAAGCATTACCAGAGGGTGGTTCATTTCTTCTATGAACATTAACAGTTCAAGATGCCAACGACGGCGTGCGTATCGTCGGGATGGCGGCGATTTTTCGAGCGGGACGAGGTGCAAGCACCATGAGCAAAGCTACCAATCGAGCATGAGGTAGAGCAGTGCATCGGCAGAAGACGAGGCAACCAAGTGGTGTGTCCTAAACAAAACGATCGCGCGAGATGAACACGGCTTCATTTGGCCAAGCCGTGTGGACCATGGCCATCGTGACACAGGCGGGAACCAAAAGAGCATTACGACCTATCTAGATCAATATAGCAGGTTTTCGTGCAAATGCACATTTGGAGCGCGGCGCCGATGGGGCAAAACAACGCGCTGGACAAGCCAAGGGCCTAGTATGATGTGTGGTTATATGCGGCTATATGTGCCTATAAATGGCTAATGCCATGATTAACAGTTTCAGTCATTGCTGTAGCTCTACAGCTCGCCCGCCGACACAAAGTAGCATTTCGTGCTCCCCGAAGCGTCTCATATTGATGTGCCAAGTATGGGCGATTCCGTTTTGAAACACGATTTGGGCGATGCAATGTCCAGCGCTGCTGGCAGTCGCGCTCCAGCGGTCATCATTGGTTAAAAATACAGAAAATGAACCAATCAAGCGCATCGAATTAATGGCATTCTATTTCTACTTTATAACAGTAAAATTGTATATTGGTTCTGCAAGCTTTGTAAGCGGTTTGACGTTCCAGCCGCTTCCGCGTTCAGACTTACATCCATCGTTATCGCACGCGTCGGTGTTTGCAGAACGCTTGCGATTCTTTTGCAGCACACGCACCGTACGACAGAGATGCTTCTGCTACACCTAGCTTACACTCTGCAATCTTGACGCGATTGGGATCTACAAAATTTGTAGAAGCGTACACGGAGCATCTTTCGCAAGGTATCCAAATGGAACAAATTGCTTGAAGGCACAAAAGCGTGCATTAACGCGGCGAAGCGTTGAAAATTACTGCTATGGTGTGGGCGATATGAAGTACGTACTAGCATCGAAGGTTGCCGGGGATAGGCTCGATGCTCCGGTTGCTCACGCACCGAGGGCTCGGAGGTCCGTAACGCTGAACTTGATAGTATTAATTTATAGAATATTTCAAGCTGATGCATATCGCAACATGGAGGTAAAACGCTCGTCCAAGAAGCAGCTTTCCCACCACACCAGCTCGGACGAAATATTGCGTTCACAGCAATGCCATGCATTGTGGTCGTTAGTCCAATGATATACATGCTACATAGAGTCGCCTACTTGGCCCGGGCAGTCATCTCCTAGCGTGTCCGTCGTGTCATGGATGCCGTAGTCGCTCTTTGTACCCAACAACGCAGGCCAAGTAGCGCACCCTTGGTCTTCATCATGAACAGCACGACCCGGTCACTGGCGACTGGGGGGACAATCGATGTCACCCGTTGACGTTGCAATCTTACCGCCCGACGATGGTCTACTGCCCTGACGCGCCGCCAGTCGTCGACATCACCGCTGCGCAGTAAAGCTTGACTGTAGTGCTTTGGACACAAAGTGCGCTGTCGTCACTTGAACATAGCCATCGCTGATCGATTGCCACGACGTCGGCATAGACGACTGGAACGCTCGACAGTGATCGTGCAAGAAAGACAGGATAGGTATGACCCATGTTGACCGCATTTCACGGCCCGAGAACTACTGTGAGTGCTCGATGCATCTGATAGCCTATCTGATAGCATGATAGCATGGCAATGATAAGGATTCAACTGCAGTTTGTTGCTCGTCACGTCGACTTGTAGTTTAAAAACTACAGAGTACTGTACTCGCGCGGCCCATCTCTCACCAAGATCACGATTCGGGCATATAGGCACTGGTGAATCCAAGTGCCTGTGAGCCGGCATTAAAAACACGCCAGAGAATTCAGGCAATCCATCAAGCGTGGATTCTAGGACAAACGATGCACTGCAGTAGAAAACAGGTCCCGTGCGGGGTGAGCTGGTAGGAACTATTGAATATACATATATAAACGTATTTCGCGTTATCTTCGTTGTTACACAGAGTTCGCATACGTAGAGACTAGCAATCTCCTTCTTCATTATTCGTTCTACCGGCCGTGGCTGTGCAGGCGGCGGCGCGGGGGCTCGTCTTGCTCTTCTGTACCCGTAGTCGCCCGGGGGCGCTTGTGGCCGCGGATGAGGCCCATGACGATTCCAGGCTTTGTCGTCGGCGGCAAAGCTACGCAGTTGGTTGAGGTCCTCGAGAGACGCCAGCGACTGAGGCGGCGTCAACGACTGGAGGTCGCGGTGCAGGACGATCGGCAACGTGGTCTTGGTGCGGCCTAGAAAACGGGGCGCCTCGGGAGCGGCAAAGAAGCGAGCGGCGGCAAGGTTGGCAGGGACGTCCACACTCATGCGCAGCACGTGGCCCAGCAGGCGCCAGCGCTGGCGGGCAACAATCGCGCTCAGCGGGACGCTGTCGCAGCGCTTGTAGAGCGCGACGTCGCTGAGCGCATTCGGGTGAAAGATACCTAGAAGGCGGCGCAGCTGCCGGCGATGGAAGCTGTCGTTGGCGTCAGGGCCCACGTGCCACAGTTGAACTTTTGAATGCAAAGCGTTGTTTACTGGTATTTGCGACGACGGCGCGTTGGCCTAGACAAAAGTCAACGCGCTACCTTCGCTGCGCTACGGTGCGCAGACTTTTCCGGGCCAACGCGCCGTCGTCGCTTGCTGCAGTCTTTAATGTGGCATCGCACCTCGGTCACGTAGTTCTTCCTGAGCATTTTTGATGCCTTCGTCATGAGTCGAGTTGGCCTCCGTCGATGGAGTTGCTGCGGTTGCGAACGCTTCGCGAGTCTTGCCTTCCTTCGGGTCTCTTGCATCCTCTGCGCTTGCCGCTCCCGAGAGAGCTCCGCCTCGTACACCGTTTGTGGCTTCACCTGCTTCCCATGCGGCCCCATGGTACTAGAGGGCGTCCTTGCCAAGACGGTCGTCTCCGCGTGTAACTGTCAGAGCGCGGTGCGAGCTCTTTTAGGTGCGGCTGTGATGGCTACATGTACCCTGATAAGTGCGTCGTACTTAAATTATACAAAATCAAGTATAATGTCCCAAAATGGACAGCACTTAACAGGGACAACAAAATCGCACTTCACAGGACATGTTCTGCGCGATGCGATTGGCTGAGACCAATGAAACTGTGTTTCATTGGTCAGTAAATCTAGCATTATAGCCAATGGGTTGGCCGGATTGAGACACGACACGCCGAATTAATCCCCTGGGATGCTGGTACGCCACGTGAACGTTCCTACCAGGATAAAGATCCCAAAACACTACTACTGATAGGGTGTGCACATGACCGTTGCGTGCGTTAATCGGTGTCCAAAACAGAGGTGATTGTTTTCTTCTCCTTGAAATAATGCACCGCTAGTCGCAGGGAGGAATGACAACCAGCTGGATAGGTGTGGTTGCATCGCTTGTTTGGACACATGTAAACAGGACATCCATTCGTCGCAAGTTGGTACGAGTCGTGTGTTCACCGTTTCAGCCACTATCAGGTGTAGGCTTCCGGGGTTGCTACAATACGAGCAGTGCAGAAGCTCGGCACTTGGAGCTTCGACCTCACTCTGAAATTTGCACCGCCATGGTCCTTCGCCTTCCTCTCGCCGCGCTCGTTGCTGCGGCCGCTGTATACGCCTCCGATGCTGCGTGCGGTGATTTGCCAGTTGTCAGCCCCACGACTCCGACGCCGACACCCTCGGCCGCCCCGGAGCCCACGACGCCGACGCCGACGATCCCAACGCCCTCGTCTACCCCGGACGCCGACGACGCCGACACCCTCGGCTGCTCCGGAGCCCACGACGCCGACGCCTTCGACCACCCCGGAGCCCTCGGCTCCAACGCCCAAGCCGACGTCGGCCACACCGACCATGAAGCCGGCCCCAACGACGTGGGTCGAAGTGGCGCGTGACGGCAAGCAAGTGGCTGCCGACAACGACTACGTCTGCCTTCTCGACACGGCCAAGCAGGTGGCCTGCGCCACGGCGCCGTCGACGACGACCAAGTGGGTGAAGCGCGATGGCAAGTGGTCCATGATCGCTGTCGGTGGCAACTCGCTCGTCGAGTACAGCTACGCCAAAGGCAACGCCGTCATCTCGGACATCAAGAACAACACTTCGGTCGATGTCTCGGTCAACTTTGGTTCGCACGTTGCGACCGACGGCGACATCTTTTGCGCCCGCGAGCAGAAGGACACAAGCTATATCTACATGAAGTGCCTTCCGTACACCGACAAGTTCGGTCAGCAGAAGTGGAAGTACCAGGAGGCGGCCAAGCATTACTTGGCCTTCCACGCCGGTGCGTCGACGCTCTACGCCCTCGACAAGACCAACAACTTGCATGTCGGCGCGACGGCCGAGATCGCGTCGGGCGAAGTCAAGTGGACCGATGTCAAGAGCCCTGGCTTCTCGCACATTGCGTTTGACGGCACGCGCGTCTGCGGTATCACGGCTTTGTTCAAGGAGATCCAGTGCAGCATCAGTCCGCTCTCGGAGAAGCGCATTACGTGGTCCGAGCCGCTTGCTGGCCGCACGTGGACCAGCATTGCGCTCAGCAACGACCAGGTTTATGCCATTGATGCAGCCGGCGTGGTTCAAACGCGCTCAGCCCCAAGCGTGGTCTAGAAGGCATTGTAGTAGTACACTCGACTAGTACTGGTATCCCATAAATAATACATACCGTACCCATGGGAACTTTGTGCGATCTTAAATGGTTTAAATGGTTATGGAAGTCAAACAAAGTTGGCCGCGATGATTGGTGAACTTGCTCTAAAACTACTTCAAATTCGCAGCAGGATACGATGCACCCACGATATGTAGGTTCACACTCTCGCCCATGGAATTCGCGTTCGTCATGCGAGATAACCACAGAACGAACGATGGTGCGGTCCAAAGCAAATCACCAAACATCTGTGTTTCATTTACCAGCATGTGTTGACATTCCCCGTCCTATTTAAACTCTGCTCGACCATAAACGTTCTTGAAGCGGCGAAAGCGGGGCAGTGTGGCTGTGGGGCGTTGCAAAGTGGCCGCCCTTGGGAAGTCATTGGCTGTGCATGTACGTACGAAATAATAATAATAAGGTCCTAGTACAATGTGGCGACTAGAGACGGCTCCAGCCGCGACTTTAAGCGAAGCGGTGACTCCCAATCAATGCAGGCAATAGCGGGACTATCGACCGGCTAAGGTTTTGAATAGAATTCGGCACGATCGGAGGTTTGCTTTCGGGACTCTGTCCGCCGATGTGTTGCAACCATCGTATCGAGGTGCTAAGAAATGCTCTGCGACGCCAGACTGATCGCAGGATTCCTGAGAGTAGAAAAGACTGTGCCGCAGTAATCGTACCTGTAGTAAACGTGACCTGTGTTGACCTCGCAGCTTGTTCTGGCGTCTGGTCTACAAATCTTGCGCGAGCGCTGATCGGCATTCCACCTGGTCCAATGCTTGAGGTCCTGTCTGCAGGTGATCGACAGGTGATCACTTGCATGTCGTCCGCTACCTCTGGCCACGAGTACCATGTATGCCCCAAGAATGATCAGGGGACTCAAATCAGGCACGATGCTAGTCTTACACATCAATAGCGGCGCAAGGACCATGTAGTATATGGCGCTGGAGTGCTGGAGCAATCAACGCGTTATTTTGAGACGCAACAGATGTTGCCGTCCGATCACTGCGCATAAACGTATGGGCTCTGTCGTGCAGAATCTGTGCGGAGTCTGCAACGCTACATTATGTATAAAACTAGGAGGAGTACCTGCTGCACTGATCGTGATCTGCAACTCGTCGTGCCGGCCAACGCCCTTCAACTACTACAGTAGGGTACCTGATCTCTCCAAGCGACACGCGCCACGCTCCGGCACACATGCACTGCAGTATTATGGCAGCACCACGCTACCGTGGACTTGAGAGGCAGTTACAAGCCCACATAGGCTATGTGAGCTTACCGGTATGCCAGCAAGCGCATGGTTGCTGGCATGCATTGCACATGGGTGTAAACTAGTCCTACTAGCAACGAGTAATCGGTGTGTCGAGTGCTACCTTTGCATGCAAATAATTCATGGTCCCGTCGCACGCTATTATGATTGCTGGTATGTAGACGAGACACCGAATCTACTGCGTATGTGCGTTATCGCCAGCTGCGACGCTGTGTGCGGCTGCGATTCAATGCTTTGGTCGGGGTGTCCTACACCAGCACGACCACGTGCCAGAGGACGACCACGGTTGCTATCATCGCGCAGAAGAGCGTCGAAATAATGGTGCGAACCATACACAACTTGGCGGTCGCGGCCGTTTTCTCACTTTTCAATTTGCAGCCTCATGGCCCTCCGCCTTCCTCTCGTCGCGCTCGCTACGGCGGCCGTCGCGCACGCCGCTGACGCCCCGCTGCCCACGTGGGTCGAAGTCACTCGTGGCTACAAGCAAGTCGCGGCCGATAACAACGTTGTGTGCCTCCTCGATGCTAAGAAGCAAGTGTCGTGCGCTGCCCCGGCGACAGCTATCGCCCAGTGGCCCAAGCGCGACGGCGAGTGGTCGGCGATTGCAGTTGGTGGCAGCTCGGTCGTCGAGTACAGCTACACGAACGGCACGGCCGTCGTCTCGGACATTGTCACTGGCGCGTCGGTCGAGATTTCGACCGACTTTGCCACGCATGTCGCGACCGACGGCAAGATCTTTTGCGCCCGCGAACAAAAGCCTGGTGCGCAGAACCACATGTCCATCAAGTGCCTTCCGTACACCGACAAGTTTGGTCAGCAAAAGTGGACGTACCAAGAAGCGCAGAAGCATTCGTTTGCCTTCCACGCCGGTGCGTCGACGCTGTACGCCCTCGACAAGGTGCACAACTTGCACGTTGGCACGACGGCCGAGATCGCGTCCGGCGAAGTCAAGTGGACCGATGTCAAGAGCCCGGGCTTCTCGCAGATCGCGTTCAACGGCACGCGCGTCTGCGGCATCACGGCCGAGACCAAGCAGATCCAGTGCAGCGAGGGCTCGCTCGAAAAGAAGCGCGTTCCAGTGGGCCGACTCGCTTCCGGGCCGCTCGTGGATCAGCCTCGCGCAGAGCAATGGCCTTCTCTACGTCGGTGGATGGAGGACGGCGTGCTCTACATCAACGGCATGCCCGAACCGACGCCTGCGCCGACAACCCCCGAGCCGACGACCCCGGAACCGACCCCCGAGCCGACGCCCGCGCCGACGCCTGCGCCAATCCCCGAGCCGACGAAGGCGCCGGCCCCGACGACGTGGGTCGAAGTGGCGCGTGATGGCAAGCAAGTGGCTGCCGACAACGACTACGTCTGCCTCCTCGACACGGCCAAGCAGGTGGCCTGCGCCACGGCGCCGTCGACGACGACCAAGTGGGTGAAGCGCGATGGCAAGTGGTCCATGATCGCTGTCGGTGGCAACTCGCTCGTCGAGTACAGCTACGCCAAAGGCAACGCCGTCATCTCGGACATCAAGAACAACACTTCGGTCGATGTCTCGGTCAACTTTGGTTCGCACGTTGCGACCGACGGCGACATCTTTTGCGCCCGCGAGCAGAAGGACACAAGCTATATCTACATGAAGTGCCTTCCGTACACCGACAAGTTCGGTCAGCAGAAGTGGAAGTACCAGGAGGCGGCCAAGCATTACTTGGCCTTCCACGCCGGTGCGTCGACGGTGTACGCCCTCGACGAAGTCCACAACCTCCATGTCGGCGCGACGGCCGAGATCGCGTCGGGCGAAGTCAAGTGGACCGATGTCAAGAGCCCTGGCTTCTCGCACATTGCGTTTGACGGCACGCGCGTCTGCGGTATCACGGCTTTGTTCAAGGAGATCCAGTGCAGCATCAGTCCGCTCGCGGAGAAGCGCATTACGTGGTCCGAGCCGCTTGCTGGCCGCTCGTGGACCAGCATTGCGCTCAGCGGCGACTTGGTCTATGCCGTCGACGAAGCGGGCTCGGTCCAAATGATTGGCGCGCCCAAGCCGATGTAAGCGTTATTTCTCCCACGCCACGGTAGTAATGCAGTGCATTTCGGTCTCTTCTTCGGTTTCTGTGAGAAGCAACCTTGTTTGTTGGCTCTACGGTGAAAAATTGGATGCCGGTGGCGAGGCAGCGCCAATACGCAGCGAGGGCGTCAACACCGCGCTCAACCCGAGGTCGCTTGGTGCATTGAGGAAGCGATAGATCGTCGCGGCCAAACTGGCTGCCATCTTACAGTAGACGATGACAACAACGGGCTTGGCGGCTTCGACGTTGTCGCCGCTTGCTTGGAGAGCTGGTGTATTGGGCTTGGCGAACTTTCAACTAGCTCGTCAAGCTTTTACAATTGTCGGCAGCGTTTCATGGACGAACACAAGAAACGTTGTCGTGCCTTGATGTCCTGCTCGGCGACGAGCTTTTTCGAGATTCGCGCAGAATCCCTTGCCCTTCAAGGTGTCGAATCGTGTCTGCTCAGGATGTTGGCATTGCCAGCATCCTTCCAACTTGGCAAGCTCGCAGCCTTTATTCCCGCCGTTGCGGAAGAAGGGCCATTGCACTCGAGCCAGACGTCGCCGAGTTGTGCGTTATATCGTCGATTTGCCGACACAAACGCCGAGCGACAACCTCGAGGTAGTGCGAAGAGTGCGGACGATCGATGACCTCGACCTGAACACTGCAGGCGGGTATTTTGATACGCATCCGGATATAGCCAGGATACCAACAGCAAGTGCAATTTCAGCAGGAGCTGCGTGTTCGGAGTGCGCGCGGCATCGAGCTTGATGGCTCCACCTTGATCACCTCGCGCATGATGTCCTGCTGCTTGCACACGGCAGCCAGTCCCGAGACCGCAATGACAACATGTACTGCACGCCTAGTACTTCCAGCCGACATCTGTTCGCGTGACGTCGTCGCATGCATAAGTCTCACACGACGACGACCTACGAGCACCATCACGTTTAGAGGAGCCTTTCAGCACCCAGTCTTTGACGTCAACACGCTAAACACACTGCAGTGGAATGGTATCTTATATGGTCGGTCGTCTTACTCGCCCATCTTGGTGGCCTGGCTGCCCCACAGCAGCGGGTACCCGGCCTCTTCGAGCTTCTGCTTGAGCTCCATACCGTGCTCGAGCGACGTCGTCTCGACGACGCACTTGACCTGGACGAGCGACACGCTCGAGTGGAGCCACGCGCGCTCGTGGTAAATGTCCTTGACGCTGACGCCGACGTCCGAGAGGAGCGTCACGAGCTGCGCGACGCCGCCCGGGCGGTCGCTGACCGTGGCGACGAAGCGCACGAGGCGGCCGTCGGCGGCCATACCGCGCTCGATGACGCGGCCGAGCACGCTCGTGTCGATGTTGCCGCCGCAGAGCGGCATCACGATGCGCTTGCCCTTGAGGTACGGCAGCTTGTCGTCGATGAGCGCCGCGAGACCGGCCGCACCGCCGCCCTCGACGACGACCTTTTCGAGCTCGCAGAGGCGGAGCACGCTCAGCGCGATCGCCTTCTCCGAGACCGTCACCATCTCGTCGATGAGGCCGGCGCCGATCGCGAACGCATTGTCGCCGACCTGAGGCACGGCGAGACCGTCCGCCAGCGTCGGCAGCGTCGGCGTGCTCACGGGCTTGCCGGCCGCGAGCGCCGCCGTGAAGCTCGCGCAGTTTTCGGGCTCGACGCCAATGACCTTGATGGCCGGGTTGAGCGTCTTGACCGCGAGCGCAATGCCGGCGATGAGGCCGCCGCCGCCGACCGGCACAATGATCGCGTCGACCTTGGGCACTTGGTTGAGGATCTCGATGCCCATGGTGCCGGCGCCGGCAATGATATTCGGGTGGTCAAAGCCGTTGATGTACGTGAGGCCCTCGGCGTCGACGAACGTGTCGGCGTGCGTCTTGGCCTCGAGGATGTGCGCGCCCTGGAGGATCACGCGCGCGCCGAGCTCCTGGCAGCCCTTGATCTTGGCGAGCGGCGCGATCGTGGGCATGACGCACGTCACGGGAATGTTGAGCAGCTTGCCATGGTACGCGAGCGCGAGCGCGTGGTTGCCGGCCGAGGCCGCGATGACGCCGCGCGCCTTCTGCTCGTCGGAAAGCAGCATGAGCGCGTTGCGCGCGCCACGCTCCTTGAACGAGCCCGTCATCTGGCGGTAGTCCTTCTTGAGGAAGAGCTCGTAGCCCATGCGCTTGGAGAGAAAGGCCGAGTAGTTGCACGACGTGTGGTGGATGCCATCGCGCACGCGGTACATGGCCGTCGAGATGTCCTCGAAGGTCACGGCCGGGCGGCCATCGCTGAAGTGGCGGCGCAGCGCGCGGGTCGCGCGGGCAGAGTGGCGGCCGAGCTGCATGTCAAGAAATGACCACAGCCAACCTTGGTGCTGGGCACTTCAATTAAGTACCCTTGATGGCCGTCGTTTTCTCAGAGTCGTCACATGCAAAATGTGCATACTACAATCCTGTACAAGCAGGTGGTAGTAGCTCATATTGAGATAGTACGGATAAAACATGTGCAATATGACATGAAAAGAAGAAAGATACGGAGCTGGGCCACTGTAACCACAAGCCGGCGCTAATTTTAGACCAATCAGATAGGCCAGCGGGAAGGGGCACACGAAGACACCGTTTTCGGGGTACCCTTAAACGCCAATGTGGGGACCATTCTCAGAGAGGGACCTACGAAAAGAACATGCGACAAAGGTTGAAGTAGCGCACGGCGACCGGTGATTTGGCGGCGCCAGGGCCAAGCGCGGGACGACCCTGGGTGTCAATGGATTGCGCAAATGAAGCGAGTGTGTGGTGGAGGGAGCAGCAGCAAGAAGCGAGGAAGCAGTGCGTGAGAAGCTGGACGCCCCTGGGGCCAACTTGACAACGACTGCGCCGAGTCGAATCCTGTGCCTCTCCACTAATAGTCCTGATGTTGGATGACCTGGGAATGCGGTCGCGAGAGGACACACGTCGTTGTACAGACGAGGCACGGAGCAGGTTTATATTACTCGTCTCGTTTCTGACAAGTGGCGCAGCAACGAGCTGCCAGTCGCGCCACACTGACGTCCTGGGTCTGTGGTCTTGGGCCCTCGGTGCGATCCTTGGCTCTGCCACCGCTACGGGTGAGCTACTGCGAGTGCTGCGAAGAAGAGGCGGTGTGGGCATGTACTAGTATAGGTACGCGGCGACGGAAGTGCAATGTGGCGACCGACAAGTAGTATGTTGCATAGGACAGTGGAGCGACCCAGCCGCGTCTACTACTGCAGATTCTATTGGCACTGCGACGGGCGCGCGTGACCGCAAGTGTTCTATCTGCACGATGGTCTTCTCGACGACCTTGACACATACATTTGCAACAAGATTTTGTCGAACGAAATATGCTGTTCGAGTCTCCGGGTCATTTTGTATCTAACTGCTATCGTGTTGGAACAAAGAGAGGGCCACTCGGCCTCCCCCGATAGCCTTTTTCCATTGTGCAATGTATCTAGCGCCATGGTATGAAAGATGCGTCCTGTGCTGTGGCCTATGCTGCCTGCGACAGCGCTCCCAGCTGCGCTCTGTGTAGACTCGCAAGGTGCTTCTGTCCTAAATCGCCACGGCACAAAGTTGCACCCAAGCGTCGGAGAGGAAATTCGTTTGCTTTTAAGAGATTTTACGTTTGCCTTTAAACGCGGTGGATGATGCGACGACCAGTAGGAAAGAGGAAAGAGGCAAGGGAATATTCCTAGGGAAAAGGACGCGTACGAACGATACCACTGGAGAGCTGACTGGAGAGCGCATGCGACGACAGATCCCGTAAAATCATCAAGAACGAGAGTTCTAGCAGAAATGCCGCCCCGACTCAAAGTGGAAAATGGAGGCTTGGATTATGGTACATACTGTTTGCGATGGAAGCACGATATGCATCTAGCACCCCAATGGATACATAGAGGAACGTTTTGGACTAGCTTGCTGCCAGCAAAGACGTTCCATATATAAGTACAGACGAGCAATCTTCTTTCCGTCGTACATGGCTCGTCATGCATTGTAGTTGCCAGAGAGCGATTGCAGCTCCGGAGAGACCCAAGCCCAACTTCAACGCTACGCGCACTTCTTGTGATAGATCCGTTAACATTGTAGCACCTTGACTGCGTGCCAGAGTTTGTGTGCGAGGCGGGATGCCCTTGAAGGGAAGGGCAAGCGTATTGACTCTCGCCGCCCAACGGAAGTGCCCGTATGTAGAGCACGCAAGCGCTCGCTCCCACATAGCAGTGACTCAAGCTGGCACGATCCTGCGTCGAGAGGCGTCGCTTCATGCCCCATATGAGCCCAGCATCACTCCAAGCGGGATTTCGCGCCAATTTCACGGCCAAATCTAAATCCACGCCACCTAAGCCGTACTTGCCGACACTTGATGGCCATAAACACTTTGTGCGCTCAGCATTTTTACAGGAAGCCTTTCAATACGACACGAATTTGCGTGTTGGACGAGCAGTTACGAGTGAACAGCAACAAAAATGTCCTGCGACTGGGCCAAGGCATGGTCAAGTTGCGTGGAATTACCCTACCCAATCTATGGCGTGCGACGCGAAACTTAAACGAATGGATGTTACAATGGTGCAGTCCACGCAATTAAAATACGATTTTCTTAAACACAAGATTCAAAGCTGCATACAAATACTCAATACAATCTGCATAAATGTCAATATTTGTCGAATTAAAGTACGGACTGAATTCAATGTCGTCGAAACGATTGGCTCCAACTCCCGAGTGGGGTATCCGCGGGTCGTTCATTCCTGTTGAAGCACCCGCTTACGCCCGCGCCACGCCATGCAGCACGACGAAGTTATCTGGGGCGTCATCTCCAACCAGTTCTGCTCGTTTAAGAGCAAGTACGTCTGCCGTACTCATCGCAGCCACGGAAGGCTAAGTGCTTATTTAGGCTGCGCGAAGGCGCCATGTTCTGCCGCAACGAGTACAACGTCACGGGCCTCTGCAATCGGTGCGACCGCCATCGCCTTATCGCTTGGTAGCTCATGACGACGCTAGGCAATCGTGCCCGCTGGCCAACTCGCGCTACGCGACGATCCGCGAGCACAACGGCGTGTGCTACCTGTACATGAAGACGATCGAGCGCGCGCATTCGCCCAAGAACCTCTGGGAAAAGGTCAAGCTCTCCAAGAACTACACCAAGTCGCTTGAACAGATCGACGCTCAAATGGTACATGGCCACACCTTGATGACGGCAGAGAATGACGACGTCGTGTAGCAATTCTGGCCCAAGAAGCTCATCCATCGCAACAAGCAGCGCTTGACCAAGATCCACCAGTACCTCATGCGCATGCGCAAGCTCCGCCTCAAGACCAAGCCCAACCTTGTCGTCATCAACAAGAAGATCGAGCGCCGTGAAGCCCGCCGTGAAGAGAAGGCCAAGACCGCCGCCAAGCTCGGTGCGCTGCGATGCAAGGACGATCATCGCTCATGCTATGTATGCGTTTAGACTCGTCGATCGAGAAGGAGCTGCTGCAGCGTCTCCAGAAGGGCACGTACGGCGATATTTATAACTTTCCCGAGCGCGAGTTTGCCAAGGTGCTCGACGACAACGAGGTGCGATATCAAGCCATGGGACATGCTCGGATGCTCAAAGCGCCTTGTAGGAAGAGGAAGAAGAAGGCGAGGACGAGTACGAAATGGAGAGCGACGACGAGTCGGGTCAGGTCGAATACGTCGAGGTAGACATTCGACGGAGACGCCGCCACGGTTGCTCATCTGCTGGTCATTGTAGGACTTTGACGATGAGAGCGAAGACGACATGGAAGACTTTGGCGATGACGACGACGACGACGACGACGACGATGAGGACGACGATGAAGACGACGACGACGACGATGCGAGCGCCGGGAAGCGCAAGCGTCCGGCCGCCAAGGGCGGCAAGCCCGCCAAGAAGCCCAAGCGCTCGGGCGCCTACGTCGAGATCGAGTACGAAGACGAAAACGAGTTCGAGTCGACGGCCAACTAACCGTGTCCCGTCGCCGCTCGTCCTATATTTTAACTCGCAATGCACACTTGTTTTAGACTCCACCCTACCATCAAGGGTCAATCAGGATGGGTCTGAGGAGCAGGACAACGTAGAGCCAAGGGCTCGGAGCTCCATTGGGCCAATGGCGCGAGGACACGTCGACGCCGACGTCCAGGACGAGCGCCTCGACGTAACGTGCGGGCAACCAAGACGGCGCAAGAATGCGGAATCTACATACGGTATGCCTCTGTGCACGAGGTGAGGGCGCTGGACATGGATCGTTCGGGCGCATCCCGTGAGCGTCTTGGCACATAATGTACTTGCCGTGCCTCAAGAAGTGCAGCAACTCACCTGGTTTGGTTGTCGATCGACGAGGCGGTGTGACAAAGATTTGCCGGAAATGATGGCGAGAGTTGGGGCGGGGACAGGCCAGGTGCTGTCGGCAAGGTCCATCGCGCTCCGACCACGTCCTATCTCGACACACAACGCGGTCTCGCTTGCACGTCGCACGCTCTGGCATGTACGTCGCACACTCTGGCGTGTACGCGTCATGGGCTAACTTGCAAGAGGGGTAGAAGAGCATAGTTTCGAGCAGTCCAACACACGTGGGTGATTAAATTAGAGTCTTAAACAACCAAGCGCGAGAAGGCCCGAGCCAGAAAGCCAAGAGGTTGAACCCCGAAAGCAAGCTGCCACAAACCACGACACCAGGCGGTGTCGAGCCGTTTGGGCAGCGCGCTTAGAGGCGGCGACCACGGCGACCACCCTTTCGGCGGGTCGAGTCCGTGGGGATCGGCGTGGCATCCTCAATGCGGCCAATCTTCATGCCGTTACGGGCAAGGGCGCGGAGGGCCGACTGGGCACCAGGGCCGGGGGTCTTGGTGCGGTTGCCACCCGTGGCACGGATCTTGACGTGGAGGGCCGTGATGCCGACCTCCTTGCACTTGGCGGCGACGTCCTGGGCAGCCAACATGGCAGCGTAGGGCGAAGCTTCATCGCGATCGGCCTTGACCTTCATGCCGCCCGTGACACGGACGATGGTCTCGCGGCCCGAGAGGTCCGTGACGTGCACGAACGTGTCGTTGAACGAGGCGAAGATGTGGGCGACGCCGAACACTTCCTGGCCCTCGCGGGCGGTAGGGCCAAGCTTGACCACTTCCTCAACCTTCTCGACCTTGACGGGCTTGGACATTATGCGAATTGACAACGGGGATGGAGGCCGATTGCAGAATGCCCAGCTCGGACGACCAGCGCCCGCCCACTCGACTTGACTGGCGCAGAGCAAAGCGCGTCTCGCCCAATGGCGTTGCGCCCTTTTTTAATTGGTGCGCATGATCTTGGCGTTTGTATGCGGGTTAGGACCACGCCTTTTAACTATCGAAGTTCGTAGTTGGTAGGACGCCATGAATAGTGTTACACGGCAGCAATTTGGTCCAGCAAGGACGGCCACGACAGAGCGCACGACTGCAAGCAACGGCATTGATTCAGCAAGATAATTCAAGAGCACCTGACATCGGTGCAGGGATGTATATATACAAGCACGGAATGCTGAAGATGTGTGCGCTTGGGCGCTGTAATTGTTGGGGACAAGGCATTAATGGTTGCACCTACCCGATGCCGTGGATGGCAACAGCATAGCAGAGCTGCTAACGTCAGCCAATAGGTCATCGTGACGTCTCCTTCACGCAGTCGGGCCGCCATCGATGGGTCTGTAGTGCATGCGGCCCTTGCGACGGGGTGGGCGATGCAAGCGCGATTTCGTTCTAAATAGTGTATATCTGGTATATTATTTGCATTAGGATCAAATACATCCTTTTAGCTGTATACATATAATTGAATTTTAAAACTTCGATTTGGACGACACCACGATCTTGCTTTTGAGATGACACTGGCGCGCCTCGGATCGAGCAAACGTCAACGCTGTATTGTCGAGCTTTAACTTGGAAAATCATATACAAAGGGATCCTGCTACAACCCTTAGAGGCGAGCCCACGCCGCGGCCATGGCTGCCGCGCCAAGGAGCAACGACGGCCCTTGCGTCGCTGCAGCACTCTTGACACAATCGGTGCAACCTACTCATGCGTCAACGACTGGATTTCAACGACGCGTCGTTGTACCAGGCTTTGTGCACTTGGTGCAAATCGCGCCAACGCACTGACCCTTGCAGTAGCATGCGCTGTCGACGCAGAGACCTACGCGGCGATGAGAGAGTTCGCCAACCAACTCTCATACCGAGGGTTCCGCAATTCGGGCGCGTGGCGTCCGTGGCCAGACACGTATTGGTTTTCGGCGTTGTCGCGTCACCCGTGACGGTGCAAAAGTTGCCTATTAGTACCACACGCGTCATTGCGAGCCATCTACGCGTCGTCGTCATCGTACCGCCAAACCCATTGTTGCACGTGCACGTATTGGTCTCGAGGTTGCACTTGCCGCCTACGCACGAGGTATAAGACAATATTCAACACGACAGGTCGCACCCAAGTTGATCGAGTTGCAGGCGAGGTCGCTCGTGCAGCTCATGCACTGGTTACCAGAGTACCCCGAGTTGCACTTGCATTGTCCCTAATGACACCATTTTGAGGAGAGAGGTAGAATGTCATCTTCAGTACCTCTTCGCAGGTGCCGCCAAGGCCGCAGTCGGCGACACACTTGTTGGAGAGCACCTTGTCGCAGAAGCGTCCGCCAAAGCCGACATCGCACAAGCACTACCGAGCGGCGTCCATGAGCTGTTTTCAGGTATGAAATAGTGTCAGTACGCGGTATTTGGCTTCCGGTGCGTCCGAGTCCGTGGGTGTGCACGTGCCGTGGTTATTGCAGAGTTGCTAGCGGTTCGTATTGTCAAGATTAGAGGCCCAACCACGGGGGAACGTACGTTTGAACCCGTCGGGCCCGTCGAGCAGCTCAAGCCCGTGTCACAGACTGCAGGAAACGCGCTTTGGTCCTTGCACTGCCCTACCACCGGCGATTTGTTGCTGTATAAGATGCTAAGCAACTGGTACCTTTCAAGACACACTGGAACGAGCCCGCAATGGTCTTGTTGCTTGTTTTGGGCTTGTAACAGTTGAGGCAGTTGGAGGACGCTTCCTGCAGCCGCCGGACGATCGCCGGTGTCGTCGTGTTGCCGTTGTTCGACGTCGTCGTTGTCGTTGCGGTCGTCGTCGTTGTCGACGTCGATGTCGACGCTACAGTACATCGGACATGAAGACAAGGTGTCGCATTTTGCTGCAGACATACACAACACGACACTGCCGTCGGGGGCAGGAACGAGCACCTGGCCCGACGTCGACGTGCAGCAGTTGATGTTGCGAATTTTATCGGATTCGACGAAAAGACACATGAGCGACCCGATCTCCGCGTCCTACATATAGCCATTGGTTGCTCCAGCGCAGTGCGAGCCTCTGGTTACCTGCGACGGGCAGTGGCCAAACGTGACGCCTCCGCAGAGCGGTTGCTGCGCCGTGCACTTGGCAAAGGCCGATCGGCCTGCACACTCCATCAGCATTCGAGCTCAGGAGATGTAAAAGTACCCGTGTCGACCGTCACACACGCTGCGTCCGCGGCGCAGTCGGCGTTGGAGGTGCAGCGACCTTGCAGCTGTTGCGCCTGGAATGCAGGTGAGCGATTTTGGCACGCAGGTGTCCTAGCGAACCTGCACCGTGACGGCAAGAAAAGCGGTCAACCAAAGCGCCGAGAGCTTGGACATGTGGGAACCTGGCTGGGATTTCGTCTTTGATCTGGAGCGACGCCCCACGACGGTCCAATTTCGAAGGATACCACATGTTCGAGATGTCCAATATCGAAAGTTACATGCTCGCCTCTGGCTTTTCATCTTCTAGGCAATAAAGGCAATAGATCTTGTTATTTTTACGTAGAGGACATGAAGGGGGTATAGCGCAGTGGTAGCGCGTCCGCTTTGCATGCGGAAGGCCCCGGGTTCGACCCCCGGTTCCTCCACATCTTTTTGCAAGCACAAGGCTACCAGGTATGGCGCATTTAGGAAGCGGTACGATGAACGGGCATAACACCGTTAATAATGGGAAAGGAAAGCCGCATCAACGTATGTGTCGGGCAATTTGTAATACCGCTACTCGTAGTGGGAATAACTCGTTGTATCACTACTAACGGCGCCTTGGGGATGACTGGGACGCGAGGTTGTGGCCACGGGCAAAAGCGTAACAAATTGACTGCATTATTGACATCACCATTTCTCTTCCTTGGGCGTAGGACTCGACCTGTTGTGGGCTACCTTGAAATCGCGCGCTGGTTTGTCGCCCTCGTGATGTCCAAGATCGCGGGCGACGGGCGCCGGGCTGCCCACGTAGCGCAGACGATGGACCGAGTGCACCGGCGGCGTCGTCACCTGCGCCAGCCAAACGACCCCAAGGACGAGCGAGAGAATCATTGCACGCGGCCAGACGTGGCGGGCCGACGTTGGATGCATCGCGTCAAGATCCAAGCGGACATGGATACCCTTGAAGATCGCACCCCTTGGATCTTCGATCTATTGGCCATTCCCATTGGCTTCGCCGCAAGGATGGACATATAATGTTGCTTCCTACGAACTGCCACCGTTAAGTCTTAAAAAGTTGGGCGTTGAGGGGTTGAATGTCTTCGTGTACTTCACTTGAGCCAGATCTTGGTATTACAATACCGGAGAGTCTAAGGACCCGATTTTGTGTGGCCACGAATAACACAAGGGACAGCGTCCCACTCGACGTTCCAAAAAAGCCAGGTTTTTGAAAGGCTCTTGCTGGCGCCACGTCATTTTATCCGGATACAAACTAACCACCAGCGACCACTGTACAAGCCTCCCATCGATCCCAATGTCCTCTATGGTTCATGGACGAGGTATGGGGAGCGACCACTGATGGCGCCAGCCCGCACGGTAGTAGCTCCGGAGCGTGCTGGTGCGGCAGGGGACGCAACCACGGCTTGCCGACCGCCAGGATTTTTTTCAACTCGACAGGCGCGGAAACACACGCGTTTGCAGAGAGCAAGGGAGTCCAATTCCCTTGGCAAAGATCGACGTAGCTTACTCTTCCCACCTTCACAACGAGGCAGCGCAACGAGGCAGAATGGAAGACGATCGGTATCTTCGATCGAAGTCCAGATGGCGTGAGAGCCAGACATCGACATGCGATGAACGACCAGTTGCCAGTTGCCGATTTCCCATGTTTCACTTCCTCTCACTCATTGCGTCCGGCCTGTACGTCATTGGCCTCTCGGACGCCGCGTGCAATGCGTCCACGTACTCGCTCAGCCCGTTCGCGGGCGCTGGCACCAAAGGCTTTGCCGACGGCCCGCGCCTCTCCGCGCTTTTCGCCGAGCCGCAGGGCCTCGCGTTCGACGGCCACGATCTCTTTGTCGCCGACACGAGCAGCAACCGCCTTCGCCGCGTCTCGGCCACCGACGTCTCGACGCTGCCCGGTGTGCTGCGGCAGCCGCGCAGCGTCACGACCGATGCGCGGTACGGCGTCGTCGTCGCCGACTAGTGGCAACCACGTGCTGCGCGCGCTCAACGGCTCGGACGCAGTGGACCTCGCCGGCACGCTCGGCCTCGGGCCGGGGTTTCGCCGACGGCCCCGCAGCGTCGGCGCAGTTTCACAACCCGTCGGGCGTCGCCGTCGCGCGCGACGGTGCCATCTACGTGGCCGACTCGTCCAACAACCGCATCCGCAAGCTCTCGGCCGACCGCGCGACGGTGACCACGGTCGCCGGCAGCGCGACGTCGGGTGACGACGACGGCGACGACGCGACGTTCAACGTCCCGATTGGCCTCGTGCTGCACCGGGACGCGCTGTACATTACAGACCTCAACAATCACGCGCTCCGCCGGCTCGACCTCTCGACCAACGAGATCTCGACGCTCGACTTCGACGCGGAGCTACAGTACCCGCACGGTGTTGCGCGCGACCGCTGCGGCAACTTGTACGTGGCCGACACGTACAACGACCGCGTCCTCAAGATCGACCCGGTCTCGGGCGCCGTCGTCGTGCTCGGCGACGTCGAGCGCCCGGTTGGCGTCGCCGTCAACGCTAAGGACGGCAGCGTCTATGTGTCAAGTCCGTCGCTGCAGCAAATCCTGCGCTTCGCGCCGTCCGCGTAAATGTGTTGTACATTTTATGTTATGAATATAAACGGAGATACATTGATCTCTCTTGCTACGATGAAATGCATAACCACCTTGGATCATACCAGTATTGTCTTATTGTCCATCATTCGGCAAACTAGGTGGGCGTGATGGCCGTGACGATGACCCTGGTATCGGCGCCTGTACAGTGTACAAAAGCGCCTGCGTCACTAGGACCTCGTACTGCGAAATGGCTCCAGCGGTAGCCTTTTGACACTTCTTTTCCATTGCACTGGCACGACCATCGACAAGGTGGCTTCAGGTAGTCGCATTCCGTGAGAAGGAGATGCGTGCTTTTATCAAGACCAGAAGCGCCACACTGACAAACCTCGAGCACCTCGACTGTTGACTCTCAGATCTGTTGACTCTCAGATCTGTTGACTCTCAGATCTGAGGCCACCTACGAGATCTGATGCGCCAGGGCGTTCGCTGCAAGATCTGATGCGCTATGGCGTAGACTGCAATACGCGATTCTACCAGCTACAACGTCTGCCTTCAATGCGGTTGCTGCAGTCGGCAACTGTGGTTGCTGACAGAAAGACGATTTATCGGTCAGTGCTTCACCCTTGCGTTGTGCTTCAGCCGTCGCCTTGCCCATGCTCGCTAGCTCGAAGCGCTTGAGGAGCATGCGAATTTTGGACGCGTCCGCAGGAAATTCATCGCCGCCGTCGCACGCAGCGCGCGTCATCAAGTGCGCACTGTGCACGAGAAGCTTTGCCTGTTAGCCATAAAGGCAGACAACGGTTTTTGATTCCCCAATCATGACGGATTTCAGCGTTAAAAATACCGTCAAGCAAATCAAAGCGACAATGCACCCGGTGGCCCGCCAGGTCATTCTCGTCCTCGCGTTCCTCAAGCTGCTGGCGTCGGGCACCTACTGCCTCCTCATGGCAGCACTTTTGCGCTTTGCCTCGCCCTCGGACGCCATCAAGTACCAGATCTTCGCCATGACGACCTATAGCTTTGGCACGTACGCGGCCTGCGGTCTTCTCTACTGGCTTGGCGCGCTGCACGTTCTCTGCGGCCGACGACCGAGCTGCGTGGACTCTCTATCTTGTCGCTTGACTTCATCCACGTCGGCGCTGCCGTGGGCACTCGGAGTGCAAATCCTCCAAACGTGCGTGCAGTTACTGCAGGCGTACCGCCTCAGTCAGCACGCCGTCAATTTGGACATTGCGTTTGTTTACCCAATGCTCGTCGGCCTCTCGACGGCCGTGAGCCCGTGGTTCTTTCTCTTCACCGACCCGTTCGTGCACCGCGACCTGTGGCTGCTTTTCAATTGCCTTCTCAGCTTCGTCTTGGCCTCGGGGTTGTACCTCGTGGCGTTCGTCCCGCCCTTGCTCTCGCTCAAATTTGGGGATCCGCGACAGGCATTTTCAATGGCCTGGACCACCGAGTACACGCTACTCACGCGCTACATGGTGCCCATGTCGCCGATCGACTTGGCTGAGAAAGCGACTCTGTTCGGTCTCAGCTGGTTCAACGCCCAGCGCCTCGTAGCCAACACCCACCGGCGCCATGCAGTCGCGCCCTTGCACCGGGGTCCGACCCGCGTGACCATCCGCTCCAAGCCGCGCGCGTTTCGGGTTCTCTTGTGGTGTAATTTGCTGTTGGGCTTAAGCATCGTCGTCGCCGCCGTGGTGAGCGTCGCGCGTGCCCCGGCGTGCCCCGACGGTTGTCTTCTGGCGACCCACCCTTGGTTTGCAGCGCAGTGCGAATGCGCCTTCTTTCATCTGCGCTGCGAGCCGCACAATATGTCGCCCAATTTGACTCGGGTCTTGTCACCGGCGCAGCTTGGCACGCAACTCTTCTACCTGCATGTGACCGAGTGTCCGCTCGTTTCCGGTTTGGATCTATCGCATTTGGCTCCGTTTAAGCAGCTGTTTGGGCTCACGATCGAGTTTTCCGACATGACAACGTGGGACAATAATGACCTTGCCTGGCCAGACTCGGTGCTGGCGATTGAAGTGCGCTATAGCAACCTCTCATATCTACCACCGGCGCTGTTAAAGCTGCCGCGAGACTGCACCGTGCTCACGCTGGCCTTTGGCAACAACATGTCGGCGTTGCCATCAACGCTCGTGCCGGCCTGGCAGAGCCTCTCCCGTCTCGTTCTCAACGGCAATCAACTGACGGTATTGCCGAGATGGGTCGATCAGCTGCAAACGCTCGAGCGGATTGTCGTATCGAGTAACTTGTTTACAGAGCTCCCCGAAGCTACCCTCACGACGCTTCCCGTGCTAACACACATCGAGGCAGCCCAGAACGCACTCACGGTGTTTCCGAGGACGCTTGCTGCCGCCAAGCAAGTCGAGGTGATCGATGTTAGCAACAATCCGATTTCAGAGCCGCCCACCGACGGCATGTTGGCTGCGATCGCGGCGCGCCGGGTCCTCGCCGATGGAACGCCGGCGTGCACCGGGGCACGACCACTTGAAGGCTGCCAGGCCGTGTGCGCCGACTCGTGCTCCAATTTTGAGCATGGTGACCGCATTTGCCAAGCCAACTGCCTCCATGAAGCATGCAACTGGGATAAAATGGACTGCGCGAATGGCGGGTCACAATAAGAGACTTGATTTATACCGAGGAATCTCGATGGGTACACATGTGTGTCTAAAGCTAGCTCGCCGACAGCAATCAACTTCGGCAATTGTTGTGCTTCGTGGCCTGGCGTTGGGATGCACCTTGGGTGGTGTCCGCATGTTCCTGGCGACGACAAACATCCGTTTCTTTATCATAATCCAACGATTACCAGTCTCTCTTTCGCCTCTTAGTACTCACTGCTTCGTACTCCTCTTTGTATTAGTAGTTACCTGGGTGTACACCTGGATCTCGCCAACACATACTATGTGTGGTGTCTTCAGCTCTTGCCGCCATCTTCTTCAACTATCTGAATCGAACACGGTACACTGGAAGGCCTGGCGCGCGTCCAACACTACATCGACTCGACGCTGGATGCAGACCCCGAGGTCTGGCCCACCAGCTGCGTCATTTGCAGCGAGTCGATCGTCGGCAGCCTCATGACGTGCTATGAGGCGTGTTCTGGCGGCTTGCAGGAGTATTGCACACCGTGCTTGGAACGAGATGTGCCTTCAGACGCAGTGCGCGCATGCTAAAAAGACTTGGAGGTTGACGCGAACGCCACTGCCTCGTCGGTTCTTCTTGGAGAATGCGCGGCGGACGATGGTTGTTGCCGCGTTCAGCGACGTCGAGGCTGCTTTTGAACCGTACGAGCACCACCGTGGTGCTCGTGGCACGTGGTGCCACCACGTGCCGCCAAAGGAGCGCTCGCATGAACGGCCATATCTATGAGTTTAAACCGCGGTTGGCACCCAAGCTTTAAGCCCCGCGTACCCAAATTTACGCGCCTGCTTCCCTGTACAACTAGTCAATCGAGTTGCTCGACGGCGCGCCTGTCTTCAACTCCAAGCTCCCAAGCCGGTTCGAATGGTTGCGTTTTTTCAGTATATTATATTGTGTTTTTAATGTACTGGCTAAACAGACCATAGTGCACTTGACCGCCATTACTGCCGGCGCACACATTCTTCAAGGAAGCGCTTCAATGGCATCACCAACGACAGCGCCGCCCCTCGGCTTCCGCCTCTCGTACCTGCGCCACTTTATCAACGAGCAAGGCGGCGAGGCCAGCTTTGCTGGCAAGACGACAGCCCAAGTGTGCTTTGAGTTTGTCGTGCCGCTCACGATGGCGTCGCAGCTCTCGCTCGTCGACCACGTCGCCAACGACCCAACGACCGCTTCGTTCGTTGCGCCAGCCAACTGGTACGTTTCGCACGCCTGGCAGTACCTCTTCTTGGAGACCGTCGACAGCCTCGAGCGCTTCTTCGCCGACCGCGGTCTCAGTGACGACGCGGTCATTTGGTTTTGCGTCTTCAACAACAACCAGCACCTCGCTGCGACGCAGTCGTTTGCGAGCTGGTCGACAACGTTCAAGGACAGCTTGGCCACGATCGGCAACGTGGTCATGATCATGCACCCGTGGAACGACCCGATCGTCTTGCGGCGAAGCTGGTGCGTCTTTGAGGTGTACGTGGCTGTGACATTGGGCGCGCGCTTTGAGATTGCACTTGCTCAAGATCAAGAAGCCACGTTTCTCGATGACATTGCAGACGATGGCGCCTTTTACAAGATGCTCGCAACGATCAAAAGCGAAAACTCGCAAGCGACGATTCTGAGCGACCGCGACGGTATTTTCGATTTGATTCGCGCCGAGACGTCGTTCCAGGCCGTCGATCGGCTCATCTTTTCCACTTTATCCAACTGGATCAAGACGACGCTCGAGGCGTCGATTGCATCGACGCCATCGCTCGTTAAGAAGGCAGCGCGATGGCTCCACCTCGGCGGTATCCACATAAGCGAGACCAACCCGGCTGAGAGCGAGCGCTGTTTTCATCACGCGATCGACTTGTTCACGCAGGCCAATGGCCCCAACGATCTCGAGACGCTCGTGGCGCAGTCGGCTCTGGGCGCGGCGATGGCCTCGCAGCACAAACCACGGAGCGAGTGGGCGCCGTGCTTTGAGGCGACTCTATCGGCGCAAGCCCGTTTTTTTGGCCCGGCACATGCGACCACGCTTCAAACCCGGCTGCGCTTTGCGACGGCACTGGCCGTCAACAACGACCCGAGCGGGTCCTTGGCCGTGAATTTGGAGACGCTGGACCTCGAGCGCGATGCGTACGGCCTCAACGACAAGGGCACGGCAGGCACGCTGCGCTCGATTGGCGCCAACTACCTTCAGCTGCACCAGCTTCGCGTCGGCGCTCGGTACCTCCGACGCGCGCTGGCGTTGCACGAGACGTTCTATGGAGAGGACCACCCGGTCACAATGGCGACGGCCGCGCACCTCGTCGGCGTCCTCATCCACTCGGGCCACGCCAAGGAGGCGCTACCGAGGGCGGCGCGACTGGCAGCATTGAACGAACGCATGCTCGGGCCTGCGCACTCGGACACAATTCGCTTCAATCTGAGCCTCGCCTCGGCGGAGCTCATGGCCGGCAACACCACTGCAGCCAAGACGCAGCTCGTTGAGCTGGAAATTGCCATGACGGCCAAGCCGCAGCTCCAGGGGCCGCTTCAAGCCGGTACCGATATCGATCCTGTGAGAATGCTGGATACCATCCGACTGTGTTGTAGTGCACGTGTACTTGGCCGTCGCGTACTGGGCCGAGTGCAACTACGACGAAGCGGCCAAGTACTTTGTACGCGCCGTGGACGGCATTCCGAACAAGACGAGCGCATGGCTTCTCTTCATGTTTGCCGCTGACGCTCCCCGGGTGCCCGCGGTAGAGGCGGCGCTGCAGCACGCGCGCAGCTATCTCGCGTCGACAGAAGACAAGGCGCCCGAGACGTGGCCCGTCACGTGCTTGGCGTGCTGCATGCCGATCGTTGGCCGTCGCGTCGTCTGCGCGGGGTGTCCCAATGGCCTCTACCGGTTCTGCACCGGCTGCGTTGACCGCCGGTATCGGCGCGTCCAGCGGTTTTGCGCCCACGACCCAAGCGCGACTGCGTTCAAGACGACGCTGCCGCCAATGCGCTTCTTTTTCGAAGCAGATCTTGGTTCGTCTGATGCATCTTACGACGAGGTCGATGGCCTCTACGGTGCGTACGAGACGTACTGCGATGCGCACAGCGTGCCACGTCACGAGCGGTTGCCGCGGACGTCGGTTCCCATCTTGAACCGGAGCTGGCACCCGATGGTCTAAGCCACCACTTGAAATGTTTCATGAGCCACCATTTATGTTCGTGGCAACACGCGTTGTCATTAAATCAAGAGTATTACTAAAATGTCCTGTACGTACACTAGAGATGACAACTCGGTGGAACCGATCCCGTGTGGTGCGAGCATATCCAACCCTTTGCACGCGGCATCTTGTGCATACAACCAAAGGACATGTTTGCTTTGTCTTGATGGCCCTTGATACAACGATGGAGGCGAGACGCACGCACAAATGTACTCAGTATCGACGTTGCCGTTGTACGGCGAAGGACGATTCAAAGCTGTGTCGGTACTGCAAGAAACCCGCCGCTGCGCCACTCGGACTTGTTACGCCACTCGGATGTTGTGCTTGATCGCGAATTTCAAACTTGAAGTTCAGACGTGATAGGTAATCGTGCGTTGACCAATCACGTGCCATGTGCTTTATATATACCAAGAGGTCGTCCAGCCGCCTTTGTGTCGAGTGGGCGCAAAATGCTTTCAACGTCACCCCATCCTCGAACGGCACGCGGCCTCCGCCTCTCGTACCTGCGCCACTTTATCAACAGCCACGGCGGCGAGTCACGCTTTGCTGGCAAGACGACAGCTCAAGTCTGCTTTGAGTTTGTCGTGCCATTGACCGAACCATCCGAGCTCTCGCTCGTCGACCACATCGCCAACGACCCGTCGACCGCTTCGTTCGTCGCGCCGGCCAACTGGTATGTTTCGCACGCCTGGCAGTACCTCTTCTTGGAGACCGTCGACAGCCTCGAGCGCTTCTTCTCCGACCGCGGTCTCGCCGACGACGCTGTCATTTGGTTTTGCGTCTTCAACAACAACCAGCACCTTGCGAGCTCGTACCCGTTCGAGTACTGGTCTTCTACCTTCAAGAATGGTTTTGCGGCCATCGGCAACGTGGTCATGATCATGCACCCGTGGAACGACCCGATCGTCTTGCGTCGGAGCTGGTGCGTCTTTGAGGTCTACGTGGCTGTGACATTGGGCGCGCGCTTTGAGATTGCACTGGCGCAGGATCAAGAAGCCACGTTTCTCAACGACATTGCTGAGGAAGGGGCAATGGAAGGCATGCTGGCGACGATCAAGAGCGAGGACTCGGAGACAACGGTGCCCAGTGACCGCGACGGTATTTTCGCATTGATTCGCGCCGAGACGTCGTTTACTGCGGTCGACCGACTCATTTTTTCGACCTTGTCCAATTGGATCAAGGCAGCGCTTGAGGCATCGATCGCATCGGCGCCAACGCTCGCCGAGAAGGCAGCGCGGTGGCGCCATCTCGGGTTCATCTACGATCGCAGCAACCACGACATCGAGACCGAGCGCTGCTTCCGACACGCTGTCGCCTTGTTTACGCAAGCCAACGGGCCAAACGATCTCGAGACGTTCAAGACGCAGTCAGCGCTTGCAATCTGCATCGCGTTTCAACGCAAACCGAAAACCGAGTGGGAACCGCTCTTCCTCTCAACGCTGTCTGCGCTTGCGGATCTGCTCGGCGCGGCACACGAGACGACGCTCGTCGCTCGTTTGCGCCTTACGGTCGCACTTTCCTGGAACGGCGATCACCACGGCGCGCTTACTGTGGGTCTTGGGACGCTGGACCTCCAGCGCGCCACGTTTGGCCTCCGTCATTGGCGGACGGCCGGCACGTTGAGTGCGATCGGCGGTGCGTACAACCAGCTCTACATGTACCGTGTCGGCACCCGCTACCTTCGACGCGCCCTGCTCGTGCAAGAAGAAACCTTGGGTCCGGACCATACGTCGACCCGATCAACGGTGTCACGGCTCACGAATGCCCTTTTGAACACGGGTGACGTGGTGCGGGCGCTGCCCATGGCAGAGCGCCTCGTTGCGAGCAGCGAGCGCATTCTCGGCCCGCTCCACGACACTGCAATTTTTGACAAGATCACGCTCGGAGCTGCGCTTCTCATGGCGGGAAAGAGCAAGGAAGCACAGACACTATTGACGACTCTGGATGCAATCCTCGAAGGCCGTCCCGAGCTGACCGCACGCCGGCCCACGGGTATGTGCTCGTACAGTACCAGCCCCTCAAAGTCATCACGGTGTTCTTGGGCTTGTAGTGCGCGGGCAGATCGCGATTGCATTTTGGTCCCAGGGCCAGTACGAAGAGGCCACCAACTACTTTGTCCGAGCACTGGACCTATCGCACCATAGAAAGGAAACGGTGTGGCTCTTCCTTCTGATGGCGTCGACGATTGCATCCCAAGCCGTTCCCCTCGCGCGCGCACGACATTATGTCGAGTCGGCCACCGATCCGACGCCCGAGACGTGGCCAGCGAGCTGTCTCGTGTGCGGCAATGTGATTGTCGGCTGTGTCGTCATGTGCAAGGGATGCCCCGGCGGCATCTCTAAATTTTGCACCAGCTGCCTCGCGCGCAAGGTCGCCCGGCTGCAACAGCTCTGCAAGCACGACCCGTCGACGACAACGTACACGACGACGCCGCCCCCGCGCCGATTCTTCTTGGAAAAAGACCTCCTCGAAGCCTCGTACGACCGCGTCGAGATGCTGTGGGTCGACTACGCCAGCTACTGCACGATGCACAACGTTCCGTTGCACGAGCGCCTACGACGGACCTCGGTGCCCGTTTTGAACCGCAGTTGGCACCCCATGCTCTAGTCGATATACCTATTAGTGCTGTTAATGACTACTTTTCAAGTCATTCCAGTTGACCGACGATCGAATGTTGTTGAAGTGGATCGTCCATTGCAGTGTAGATATACTATGCTAAATCGGACTTTCTTCGTTGGTTGCGCTCGGCTGAGGAACTTGCTTTAGGGATGCGGAGGCAGGAGCGCGATTGGCGGGACGAGGTGACGTCGCGGCCACTCGTGTTGGGCGAGGAGCCGGAGAAGCCGACGAAGAGCAGGCTGCTCGGGCTCGTGTACGAACCGCCATGGCTGGTTCGACTCCACAAGGTTACCAAGCCGTTGACCCTGACGACGCCCGCCGACGTCGTGCCCCGCCAAGGACTCGCTTGCAGCTACCGACCCGCCACCTGGGCTTCGATGAAGACTTCTATGAGGCGCCTGCTGTCGTAGCCGCCGCAGCCGAGCTCCGGCTACCCGACGCCATCTTACCAAAGTACGCCGACTTCGTCTACCAAGTGATGCTCCGCGCGGTCAAGTTCCGCGCACATTTGCACTGGCTCGACAGGGCCGACCAAGCGTGCCTCTTCTGCCCCGCGCACGAGACGTACCGCCACTTCCTCGTAGACTGCGACTTCATCAAGGACGTGTGGAGCACGCTTCACGCCGTCACGGTCCCTTTGGGCGTGACCTTGCCGACTACGCTCTCCGGCTACCTCTACTCGACGCCCAAGACGGCGTCCAACATGCACCAAGCCGCGTTCCGCTACCTCTGGCCCGTGCTCCGCGCCTGCGTCTGGTTCAACGTCTGGCGAGTCCGGAACGATCGCGTCTTTCGCGCTGACCTCCCGCTGCCAAGTCCATGGACGATTGCCGTCAAAGCGGCACGCGTCGCTCAACTGCACGTGCACCACAGCCAGGCTTGCCGACTATCAAATGTTGTTGAGCGCGGCTCGGCCAAAAGCTCGCACATGCTGCGCACGGATTGGCTGGTCTGCATTGTCCCTGCGATGTGATTGGCCTCGAAGGTACGGTGCCAATAGCCATCATATACAAAATGCAAGTACACGACTTAATGCACGCTTCTCACGACCGACAGGTGCGCCCGTCACGCAAGAAAGGCGCCTACGGTATAGAAGCCCGATCAGGTCACGCGACGATACAGACAGATGGTGCATCGATCCTCACAAGTATCGACGACGCACTTTGCGTCGCATGATGTTGCCTGCGCGCGGCCTCCGCCTCTCGTACCTGCGCCACTTTATCAACAGCCACGGCGGCGAGTCTAGCTTTGCTGGCAAGACGACAGCTCAAGTCTGCGTTGAGTTTGTCGTGCCGCTCACGGTGGCGTCGCAGCTCTCGCTCGTCGACCACATCGCCAACGACCCGTCGACCGCCGCCTACGTCGCGCCAGCCAACTGGTACGTCTCGCACGCCTGGCAGTACCTCTTCTTGGAGACCGTCGACAGCCTCGAGCGCTTCTTCGCCGACCGCGGTCTCGCCGACGACGCCGTCATTTGGTTTTGCGTCTTCAACAACAACCAGCACCTCGCTGCGACGCAGTCGTTTGCGAGCTGGTCGACGACGTTCAAGAACAGCTTGGCCACGATCGGCAACATGGTCATGATCATGCACCCGTGGAACGACCCGATCGTCTTGCGTCGAAGCTGGTGCGTCTTTGAGGTCTACGTGGCTGTGACCACGGGCGCGCGCTTTGAGATTGCACTAGCGCGAGATCAAGAAGCCACGTTTCTCAACGACATGGCCGACGAAGGCGCAATCCATGGCATGCTGGCGACGATCAAGAGCGAGGACTCGGAGACAACGGTGCCGAGCGACCGCGACGGTATTTTAGGCTCATTCGAGCCGAGACATCGTTTGCAGCCGTCGACCGGCTCATCTTTTCGACGTTGTCCAACTGGATCAAGTCGACCCTCGAGGCGTCGATCGCATCGGCGCCAACGCTCGCCGAGAAGGCATTGCGGTGGCAACAGCTCGGGTTCATCTACGATCGCAGCAACGACGACGTCGAGACCGAGCGCTGCTACCGACACGCTGTCGCCCTGTTTGCGCAAACCAACGGGCCCAACGATCTCGAGATGCTCAAGACGCAGTCCGCGCTGGCGTTTTGCATGTCGTATCAATACAAACCGAAAAGCGAGTGGGAGCCGCTCTTCCTCTCCACGCTGTCGGCACTGGTCGCGCAGCTCGGCGCGACGCACAAGACGGCGCTCGTCACCCGCTTGCGCCTCACGGTCGCACTTTCCTGGAACGGCGATCACCACGGCGCGCTCACTGTGGGTCTTGGGACGCTGGACCTCCAGCGCGCCACGTTTGGCCTCCGTCATTGGCGCACGGCGGCCACGTTGAGTGCGATCGGCGGTGCGTACAACAAGCTCTACATGTACCGTGTTGCTGCCCGCTACCTTCGACGCGCCCTGCTCGTGCAAGAAGAAACCTTGGGTCACGACCATACGTCGACGCAATCATCAGCGACGTGGCTCACGATTGCCCTTTTGAACACGGGTAACACAATGCAGGCGCTGCCCATGGCAGAGCGCCTCGTTGCGAGCAGCGAGCGCGTCCTTGGACCGCAGCACGACAATGCAATTGTTGACAAGATTACACTCGGGACCGCGCTTTTCATGGCGGGAAAGGCCAAGGAAGCGCAGACACTTTTGAGTGCGATGAATGCGATCTTAGAAGGCCGTCCCGAGCTGGCTGCACGCCGGCCCTTCGGTACGTGTGGGTCTAGGCCTCGTGACGTTATCGAACGTGTGTGTCTAGTGCTTGGTCAGATCGCGATTGCATTTTGGTCCCAGGGCCAGTACGAAGAGGCCACCAACTACTTTGTCCGAGCACTGGACCTATCGCACCATAGAAAGGAAACGGTGTGGCTCTTCTTCCTGATGGCGTCGACGATTGCATCCCAAGCCGTTCCCCTCGCGCGCGCACGACATTATGTCGAGTCGGCCACCGATCCGACGCCCGAGACGTGGCCAGCGAGCTGTCTCGTGTGCGGCAAGGTGATTGTCGGCCGTGTCGTCATGTGCAAGGGGTGCCCCGGTGGCATCTCTAAATTTTGCACCAGCTGCCTCGCGCGCAAGGTCGCCCGGCTCCAACAGCTCTGCAAGCACGACCCGTCGACGACAACGTACACGACGACGCCGCCCCCGCGCCGATTCTTCTTGGAAAAAGACCTCCTCGAAGCCTCGTACGACCGCGTCGAGATGCTGTGGGTCGACTACGCCAGCTACTGTACGATGCACAACGTTCCGTTGCACGAGCGCCTAGCACGGACCTCGGTGCCCGTTTTGAACCGCAGTTGGCACCCCATGCTCTAGTCGATATACCTATTAGTGCTGTTAATGACTACTTTTCAAGTCAATCCAGTTGACCGACGATCGAATGTTGTTGCGCGCGGCTCAGCCCGAGGATCGCATATGCTGCGCACGGATTGGCTGGTCTGCTTTGTCCCTGCGATGTGATTGGCTTCGAAGGTACGGTGCCAATAGACATCGAATACAAAATGCAAGTACACGACTTGATATACGCTTCTTACGACCGACAGGCGCGTGCCTGGGCGCGTGCGTCACGCTAGAAAGGCGCTTGAAGAAGCCCGATCAGGTCAAGCGACCATACAGACAGATGGTGGATCGATCCTCACAAGTGTATCGTCGACGCACTTTGCCATTGCACCAGTCGCATGATGTTGCCTGCGCGCGGCCTCCGACTCTCGTACCTGCGCCACTTTATCAACAGCCACGGCGGCGAGTCTAGCTTTGCTGGCAAGACGACAGCTCAAGTCTGCTTTGAGTTTGTCGTGCCATTGACCAAACCAGGCGAGCTCTCGCTCGTCGACCACGTCGCCAACGACCCGTCGACTGCCGCCTACGTCGCGCCAGCCAACTGGTACGTCTCGCACGCCTGGCAGTACCTCTTCTTGGAGACCGTCGACAGCCTCGAGCGCTTCTTCTCCGACCGCGGTCTCGCCGACGACGCTGTCATTTGGTTTTGCGTCTTCAACAACAACCAGCACCTCGCTGCGACGCAGTCGTTTGCGAGCTGGTCGACAACGTTCAAGGACAGCTTGGCTATGATCGGCAACGTGGTCATGATCATGCACCCGTGGAACGACCCGATCGTGCTTCGGCGAAGCTGGTGCGTCTTTGAGGTCTACGTGGCCGTCACCATGGGCGCGCGCTTTGAGATTGCACTGGCGCGAGACCAAGAAGCCACGTTTCTCAACGACATGGCCGAAGACGGCGCCTTTCTCAAGATGCTCGCGACGATCAAGAGTGAAAACTCGGAGGCGACCATCCCAAGTGACCGCGACGGTATTTTTTCTCTCATTCGCGCCGAGACCTCCTTCATCGCCGTCGATCGGCTCATCTTTTCGACTTTATCCAACTGGATCAAGACGACCTTGGAAGCGTCGATCGCGTCGGCGCCAACGTTCGCTGAGAAGGCAGCGCGCTGGCTGCAGCTCGGTCGCATCTACAGCCGCGAGACCAAGGACGCCGATAGCGAGCGCTGCTTTCGCCACGCGGTCGACTTGTTTACGCAATCCAGTGGCCCGGACGCCGCCGACACGCTTGCTGCCGCGTCGCACTTAGCGTATGCGATCGCATACCAGCGCAAGCCGCGGGACGAGTGGGCGCCACGCTTTACTTCGTCGCTCGCCGCACTCGAGAGTCAACTCGGTGCGACCGACGACCGATCGCTGCGCGCGCGCGCCGACTTTGCTTCGTCGCTCGCCTGGAACGGCGACTTTGCCGCCGCGCTAAACATGAGCATGACGCTCTTGGACCTGCAGCGACACATGTTTGGCCTCGGCGACTGGCGCACGGCCAGCACCATGAGCATGATTGGCATCAACCACTTCCAGCTCGGCGCCCGGCGCGTCGCGGCGCGCTGGCTCGCCAAGGCGCTCCCGATCCAAGCAGCGTACTTTGGCGAGGACCACACGTCGACGACCCTCACCATGTCGTTTCTTGCGGGCGCGTTCATGTTTCTGGGCGAGCTCCAACGGGCGCTGCCGCTGGCCCAGCACCTCGTAGCCACCAGCGAACGGACCCGCGGCCCAGACAACAGCGGCACGATGGTCGACAAGATGAACCTCGCGATGGTGACGCTCATGGCCGGGCATCTGCACGAGGCCACGGCGCAACTCACTGCGCTCGAAGCGGCGCTTAAGAGCCGCGCCGACCTCTCGCACCATCACCGTGAAGGTACGTGCATGCGCGTCTTACCTTTCTGATGCTCATATGAAGGGGTCGTGGGTAGTTTTAAAGCACTTGGCCGTTGCGCATTGGGCCAACACCGAGTATGACGTCGCCGCGTCATGCTACCGCCGCATTTTCGAGGCGACGCCCGATAAGGAGAGTGCGTGGCTGCTGGTGGGCTTTCTACTCGACGCACCGACGACAACCGCGCAGCGAGACGAGAGTTTGCAGCGCGTGCGACAGTACATGATGACGAGCCGCGATGACGCGCCCGAGTCGTGGCCCATGAGCTGCACGGTGTGCTGCCAGCCGGTGCACGGCCGCCTCGTCAAGTGCGATTCATGTCCGAAAGCACTCTTTGTGTTTTGCGCGTCGTGCCTCGAGCGGCAGCCCCGCCGCGCTTTGAAGTTCTGCGCCCACGACCAAGCCGACACGGCGTATTCGACGATGACGCCGCCGCGTCGCTTCTTTTTCGAAGCGGACCTTGTCTCATTGGATGCTTCTTTTGAGGACGTCCACGGTATCTTTCGTGCGTACGAGACGTACTGCGATGCGCACAGCGTGCCACGTCATGAGCGGTTGCCGCGGTCGTCGGTGCCCGTGTTGAGCCGTGCGTGGCACCCGATGCTGTGAGGTGCCTCAGATGTATCATCGTGAATAAGACCAAGTCTTCTTCTTTCAAGATATTTGTTCAAGCTACTATTGTGCGCGTGCTGCCTGCTTGGCCGCCATTGTCCCTCCTCCGACGCGTCATTTGTGTCCTGCACAAACCTCGTTCGCCGATGCTTGGTAGCGCTACCGTCTTTGAGACTTGGCAGTGTCTCTAGGTAACGATGACGGCATTGCGAGGCAGTCTCCAGAGAAGGCAGCACCTGCAAAGGCACACTGCGAAGCGAAGAAGCGAATCCTCTCCGTGGCGAGACGATGGACTCGTGCTGCTCGTTGAAGAAAAGGCATCGCGCCGCAGTGGCGTATCTTTTATATCAGCAACATGGCGACCGGGTAGCGACGTGTGGACTAGACACTCGGCGTGGTCGCTTGCTCGATGCGTCAAGCGATGAGGTGGCACCGCCGCCATGCAGTGTGCTTGAAGGCTCCTCGATCCCGCGGCGGCTCGTCGTCTTGGCGCTTCCAACGATGCTGTCTGCACCTAGTGTCGTATGCTATTGCGCAGAAGTGCGAGCCGCGAGGCTGCCTCACTCGAGAGCCAATGCGATGCCGAAGGCCGATCGCAACGCGCCAACTTGGCCTTGTCGCTGGCCTGGATGGTGACTTTGCTGCCACGCTGGACCTGTGCCCACCTGTGCCTGATAGTGCTGTAGCTGTAGCGAAACACGTTGGACCTCGGCGACTGGCGCACGGCCAGCACCAATGCCATGCCTGGTTGCTACATTGTACACGCATTTCCAGCTTGGCGCGGGACCTGTGAATCAGTATGGTTTGTTTCTGGTACAAGGATTTTCTATTGTGTGCTTCCAGACTGCACACTGGTAGGGCGACGTCGAATGGCCAATGATGCTCATACTGGAGACTGGAGACTGGAGTTTCGACAGGCTATCGAGACGCAGCGGATCGAGACGAGACAATAATTGCAATCTCCCAAGCTACACGTGTGCGTAGGACATGGTCGTAGCGCAGGCGATACTTTAAGCGACGATCCACCAAACGCAGACGCTGGCACTCGCTCCTCCTGCTGCCACGTATTGCGTACCTACCAAGCGACGCACAGCTAACAAGTTCCATGCGGCGAAGCATAGCTGGCATCTGCACGAGGTCCGCCTTTGCAAGACGTGGCGCAACGCCAGACCTTGGCGCTGGTCGAGGCAGTCGCGCCCAGATCACATCCGTTGCGTCATGTTGGCGGTGCTGGAGAAGGACATCAGAAGGCGACTGCAGCGCCGTCCTCGTGGCTGCCACGACCGCGCTGCCGATGGGCTTGCTCGTTTCCTTGTGGCACCTCTCGCGGAAATGGCGTCCGGATACCATTGGATTCGGCATGTGCCGATATTGGGGATCGAGATACGGCATCTATCCGGATACATGTCCGGTTGTTGCTTTCATTTTGTCGTCTTTTTGGCCAATCCAAAGTGGCGAATCATTTTTCCATTTGCGCCACGATGGCCGCGCCTGGATGAAGGTCGACCTGCGGAAGGAATCCAAGGCGCATGGCCGCGACGCACGGCGACCTGTACGCTTCTGAAGGTCGTGGCCATGTGGTTGTGGTCGATGTCCTAAGACGGCGTCGATAGCGAGCCGCCTGTCTCCGCACGTCGTGGGCGGCGTCGTCAAGGATTGACGATGATACTGGAGCATGACTCCATGCAACGACGCTTGTAGCCATCGGCGCCCGCGTGCTAGTAGGCGGCGCCAACTTTAAAGCGTGCACGGTCCACGACAAGACGCACTAGGACATGCGCGTGTCCCTGCGAGCGCACGTGGCGTCGACTGCCTTGGCGGAAGTGGTGAGTCCATCTGCATTACACCCGACTGAACTGACTCATGGTAGCGCTCACAGACCACGTCGGCTTGCAGTGGCTCTGGGGCGGCCTCGGCCTCGGCAGCGCCCGCACCCACGCTGTCTTAGCCATCGTCCCCGTGCCCGAAACCAACGACGACCACGACAGCACCGACACGCTCGTGCTCTCGCTCTCGGCCGACTATGTCCTGCGCGTCTGGTCGTACGAACAGCTCAGCTGCCTCTGCAACCAAGCGATTGGCTTGGTGCTCGGGCTCCACGCCGATGTGGCGCCGGCGACCGCCGCGTCCATGACCATCGTCGACCACCGCGTGCTCCTGCACGTGACGACGACGACGACGACGCCGCAGGACATTGTGCTGCTGCGTGGCGAGCTCTCGCCAGCGTCGATCGACCTCCACGTTGCACGCCGCTTTGTGTTGGCGCAGCTGCCGGTGCACGTCCGGCTCGTCGACTTGAGCGTCCATGACGCACGGCTCTTCTCGGTCTGGCGCGCGCCGTCGACCGACTACGTGGTCCAGCACCCGCTTTCGCTCACGGGCCCCAAGCAGGTGACGGGCACCGTCCTGCGTGGCATGCATGCGTGGACAGCCAAGCACGCTACCGACGACGACGCCTTGGCCAAGGACCTGTCGCAGATGGACGTACGTCAGGAACCACAGTGCGCCGTCATCTGCAATGTCGTTGCGAGGCGTCGACGGCCCATTTGGGTGGCCAGAATCACCGGCGTCACGTCCGCCTACAACAACAACAATATTGTCATCTGTGCAGAGGAGCTAGAATGTACCGAGTTGCAAACGTCCATGCGAACGCTAGTCTGCAAGACGACCACAACACACCATGCATGCGCTTCCAAGGCTGTAGCGCGCGGTTAAGCGCCTTGCAGATCGTGTCGTACCAGTGGACCGTACGGCCCCACGGCGCAGAAAGGGCGCACGCCCATGGACGGCGACGTCGTCTAGAGGCCAGCGAATGGCCGCGTCTTCATGCAGTGTGTCGAGAGAGGCCGAGTTGTAGCTGCGCGTCGCAGATAGCGCTCGTGCCATGGCGCGGTAAAGTTGGGCGACTGGGGGTACCATTCTGATCGAAAATACTCCGTTGGGAATGCTCGCGGGTTTCTATGCGTCTTGTTAGCTGTGCCAACGGCCACGGTATCAAGCAGCCATCCGTAACACGACGGTAGCATCGTGCAAATGCCACTCGACCGCACTGCGAAGCGTCGCGGTTAGGGTAGGGGTAGGGTACGGCGTTGCGCGCTACAACCCAGTCGACAGGCATCGACGCGAGGGCGTCACACGCATATATGTCTATCAACGTAGAAAACGTCATTTCGCTCGATGACGCATCTTTTGAGTTATCCATTCTAACTTGCTTACGGCCTAGACTGGCTGGTGCGTGTCAGCTCGAGGCGCATGAGAAGCATGTGAATCTTGGTTGCGTCGGCGGGAAACTCTTCGCACGCGGCTGGTGTTATGCAGAAAGCATTGCTGCAAGACGTGGCATTGACATCAAATTGGAGGCTTGGCTGCCGTGTCCTTGGCACTGCCCGCGAGCAAGAATGGAACATGACGACGGGCAAACGCACACCGTACTAGTACTGGATAGCACCAGAAGCGCTCACGTCTGGTAGCAAGTACAGCTCCGGCCGATAACGACGCATGGGGCGCCATATCAATATGTTTCGATCGGTTGTTAATAAAGACGTTTGGCGTCGACGTGCAGGTTAGATTTGTTTGCTTGTCGAGTTATTTAGGAAACGCTTGTTGGAGAAGCTCGGCAACGCTGCGATGGCCATGGCGCTCGGCGTACTGCAGCGGTGTCATGTTGAACTATTGCATTTGTATCAACACAAGACTTGCTTTTTGATTGGCGCTCGTACCCCGTCGAGAGCATGTGCATTGGCTCCAACGCCGAGTAAGTGCATGACGATGGTCTCGTCACCTCGGAGGCTCGCCCAGTGCAGTGGCGTGCGAGAAAACTAGACATCAATCAATCAGTATCAACTGTAATGTGATGGAAGGCGTACAAAGGAGTCGCAGCAGTTGGGATTCACACCGTCCTCTAGCAAAGCGACGACGTCCGGTACAAGGCCAAGACGAACTGCCTCGCAAAGACATGTCTAGGATAAAAACACTCAGTACGGAGACATGTTCGTCGTTGTAGTGCCTCGTTGACGATCGACGCCAACAAGTTTGCCGAGCGCTTGACAGATTGTTCTTCCTTGGGAAGGGAGTCGCGCAGACACTGGGCAACTTCGACACGATTGTTTGCTTCTGCGAGCATGAGTGGTGTTTGACCAGACTACAAGAGGTAATGTAGCAGATTGAATCTCTGGTAGCTCGTTTCGCGAGACACTACTAGTTTGGCATGTACGAGTTTGTGCATGTACGTACGTTGTCTTTGGCGTCGATGGCCGCGTTCTTCTTTAAAAAGAAGATGACGATCTCCAAATAACCATTTCGAGCAGCCCAGTGCAATGGTGTCCAACCATTCTACACCAATAATCACTTGATAAGAACCACGTTGCGAGAGGCCAATGCAAATCACACAACGTACCTTGTTGTCTTTGACGTCGATGGCTGCGCCTTCCTCCAACAAGAAGCGGACGATCTCCAATCGACCAAGGCGAGCAGCAGAGTGCAATGGTGTCAAACCT